CATTACCTTGACTCAGTCACACATGGTGCAGCAGGTCCTTCAGCGCTTCGGCTTCACCTACTCCTCGCCACAGTCCACTCCTCTGCCTACCGGTCACTCGCTCTCAGCTCCACCTTCGGACGAGTCCGTAGAGCCGAGTGGCCCGTATCCAGAGCTTGTGGGCTGCCTCATGTACCTGATGACTTGCACACGACCTGACCTCGCATACCCTCTCAGCCTTCTGGCTCGCTACGTGGCTCCCGGCAGGCACCGAAAGGTGCACTGGGATGCTGCGAAGAGGGTGTTGCGATACTTGTGCAGTACATCGGGCATGGGGCTCGTGCTTGGAGGACGGGCTCGAGTTGTCCTCACTGGTCACGCTGACGCCTCCTGGGTTGACGACCTGGCTACGCAGCGGTCGTCACAGGGTTACACCTTCAGCCTTGGCTCCGGTTCTGTCTCCTGGCGGTCTACCCGCTCTTCTTCTGTTCTCAGCTCCAGTTGTGAGGCTGAGATCTACGCTGGGGCCATGGCTGCACAGGAGCTTCGCTGGCTCACCTACCTGCTGACCGACTTGGGAGAGGCGCCTCGTTCTCCTCCAGTTCTGTACGTCGACAACAAGGCCATGCTGGCCTTGTGTCAGGAGCACAGACTGGAGCACAGAACGAAGCACATTGCTCTGCGCTACTTCCTTGCTCGAGAGTTGCAGCAGCGTGGCCAGCTTCGTCTTGCTTACGTGGCCTCTCAGGCCAACACTGCTGATGTCTTCACCAAGGCACTTCAGCCTTGTGATCATCAGCGATTCTGTACTGTGTTAGGCCTTGTACCTACTGTGCCTCACTTGTTGACTTCTTGACTCTGCTTGTACTGTACTCTATATACTTATACCTGCATGCTTACACTTGCTAGGTTGTGTTCACTGTATTGTTTGCTTTCCTTTATATAACTCTGCATGTGAACTGGCCTTCTGGCCCTTTGCTTGTGCTCAGACTGTGTGGTGACTTTGTGATCCACCCTGAGCTTGCTTTATCTTTCTTGACTGGTCTTGTGACCCCTTGTTCTCCCCCACTTTGCCTATGGGGGTGTGTCAAACATATATTTACTATAGTCGGTCTAGGCTGTAGTGGGGTAGTCCTTAGAGGGTACAACACTTATGTGTTTCCTACTTGTACCCTTCTCATTTCCTAATTCAATCATTCTTTCGTCTATCATTCTCACAGGTTGACCACGAACTGTTTTTGTTAGGACAAGCCACGGAAATCTCTCTACCCACTTTGTTTTGTACTTCTCCAAAGCATTGGCATAGATAGCATCGACGAGCTCTTGCACGTTGATGTTCAGAGAAGGGCGCACAGTGGATTCGGTGACGACTGGTTCAGAGACTGGGACGCTTGATGAAGGCTTCCCGAAAATCAGCCGTTGCTGCTTGAGTTTGACTTTGCGCGGAGCGGACGATTTCGATGTCGACGTCCCGACGAGAACTGTGTCGGAAACACCAGCAGACGCAGGAGTGCCTGCCCGTATAGAATCCGGGCTAGAAGGCTCGGCGGGTGTCTTAGGAACGGGAGGATCTGGATCTGGTGGGGTTGGCAGCGGAGGTTGAATATGGCGGCCTAGAGAGCTAAGAAGAAGATCGAGACCCGTACGGGCTTCCTCGATGGCGTCAGCGTCAGCGCCGTCTAAATCCGCTCCGTCCTCGTCGTCAGAAAGGGCGTCGCCATGGCCAGCCATGGTGGAACAGCGAAGAGAGAGTGTGCCGAGCACCGTCCCGGCTAGAGGAGAATGAACCGAAACCCTGGCGAGGATGGGTGTGGTGGGGTGGGCCTGCAGGAACAAGATGGGATGGGGGTAATCAAGAAGGAGCTGGTGAAGAAGGGTTTGTTGCAAGGCGACGCGTCGGTTGCCAGCATGCACGAACTGGTTGCAGGTTCGGGGTGGGTGATGTGGGGGTGGTTGCCTAGTCGCGCGGCAACAATGTGCTTGGGTGTGATGTCAGAATATTATGCTCTAGCCTGTAGTGGGGTGCTCTATAGCGAGTACAACCCTTCTAGGGTTTGCTATTTGTATCCTCATTCTTGCTAGTGCAACCTTCTTCTTCCTTTTAAATTTTCACATGCTATCAGAGCAGGTCGATCCCCTTGGATCGATCCTGTGGGTGGGCTCACCACCTCGTTGCTTCCGCTGCAACTTCCACTGCTACCCTCTGTGCCGCACGCCCCGTGGCGTGCGGCAGTTTTTCTTCCCGCCGTGCGCCCCGAGGCGCGCGGCGGTTTTCTGCCCGCCGTGCGCCCCGTGGCGCGCGGCGGTTCTCTGCCCGCTGTGCGCCCCGAGGCGCGCGGCGGGCTTCTGCCCCATCACTCGGCGCGTCGCCCTCGGGAGGCGCTGCGACGGGCGACGGGGACCCGCGCGTCGCCCCCCGTCGCCCGTCGTGGCCTGCGCGCGGCCCGTACAGGCTGCGCGCGGCCCGTAAGGGCTGCGCCAGGCCCGGACGCGGCCCGTACGGGCTGCGCCAGGCCCGCGCGCGGCTCGGGCCGCCTGCGCGCGGTTCGGGCGGCTGTGCCAGGCCCGTGGGCGGCCCTTTCCTCGCTGCCCCTGCCCTCCCCGCTGTCCCCCGTGCTTCTACTGGCGCCCCACCCCTCCTACAGCCCGTTCTCCTGAATTAGGGTTTGGGGGTGAGGGGTATGGGGGTGAAGCCACTGTGTGCCGTTCCCTGCTCCTCCTCCTCCTCCGTCTCCCTGTGCTGCAGCTGCCGCTGAGGGGGGGTGGACTTGTTGGAGCCGTTGGAGTGGTACTAAGGGGGGGTGAAGGGGGAGTGGAGCTAGCGGTGTAGCAGCGGGTGTGTGTCAGGGGGAGTGGGATAGTTTGGGGAGGTTGAAGGGGGTGGCCGCCGTGAAGCCAGCAGCTCCAGTCGCCCGTGAGACCGTTGCGCCAGTCGCCCGTGAGCCCGTTGCGCCAGTCGCCCGTGAGCCCGTTGCTCCAGTCGCCCGTGAGTCCGTTGCTCGTCTGCCGCTACTTTTAGCCGCGGAGCCAGTTACTCCAGTAGCCCGTGTGCCAGTTGCTCCAGTTGCCAGTGTGCCAGTTGCTCCAGTTGCCCGTGTGCCAGTTGCTCCAGTTGCGCCGTGTGCCAGCAGCTTCAGCTGCCGCCCACTACCTCCTCTCCTCTCATAGTCTCTTTCCTCCTCCTCACGTGCCCGTTGTGACTACCACTAGCTTTGCTCATAATTCTGAACTTTAAACTATTGCTTCTTGAACTTGTGCTCAGAATGTGTGGTGACATTGTGATCCACCCTGAGCTTGTACTGCTTTGCTTGCTCTTCTGATTACACCCCACTTTGGCTATGGGGGTGTGTCAGAATATTATGCTCTAGCCTGTAGTGGGGTGCTCTATAGCGAGTACAACTCTTCTAGGGTTTGCTATTTGTATCCTCATTCTTGCTAGTGCAACCTTCTTCTTCCTTTTAAATTTTCACATGTGATGTGCTGCTGCATCGTGCGTGCGAGATGCTGTTAACGTGCCATTCGCCAGAAAGTGATGTGGTTGCCCAAAACAACCAATCACGAGCGAAGAGACCTGCGCTCGGCGACAGCAGTGCAAGGTAAGTGCGGGAATGATGCCACTTCCTAGTGCGTTGGCGGGGAATCTTGACATCTCTCCGTGATTGACGGGGGGTCGGTCCTTCCGGTGTACCTAGACAGCCGGAATTCAGGGCACCTACGCGAATCCCCTTTAAAGCGATTTCAGCCCACCCCCTCGAGGCAACTCTGATCAGTCAGTGTGTAGTACAGAAAAAAAACTGAAAATTCAGCGGTACGTTAAAAAAACTGAAATTTCAGCCCACGCCTTAAAAAAAATGCTGCCACTTCAGCCCCACTATCTCACCAGCACTGAAAACACAGCCTTTTTACCCCTAATCAACCTTTTTTTGCTGACTTCTGAGGGCCTGATCGCCAACCTAATTATTCACATAATTATTTCAGTGACTTTAAGAGTGTAAATCTAACTGTCAATCTGTCAACGCTTGCAACCCAGAACAAGTTGGGTAGACTCGAATTCGACCCCCTCACCTTCCATCCCTCCACCGCTTCCGCGTCGATACTCCAAATTCGCTTACCTCGGGAACTCCACTTTTGCATCCATCCATGGGGAACTCCATGCTGCCTTGAAGACATCTGTTCAGCTCACCTCGAGAGCTTTCTTTTCTCCGTCAAGCTCATCGCTTCTACATCGGAACTCCCTTCTCTTTCTAGCCTTTCTCGTCGGCGTGCAGCCATTCCGTCGCGGGAGTCGAGGCGACCTAGAGGCTAGAGGTCCTCCATTCGCAGATGCTACCAATACGGCCGAGGCTTCTTCACAGCTGGATCCCAGCTTAGCGCCGCCAGCCATTCGTCCCTAGGGTGCAGGCATTGAAACATGGGTGGTGCGAGAACACGAACGACGTGAGGAAGGTGTGCAGACTAGTTTGAAGCTGAATCTGTTCTTGTCTCGTCCGTTGAAACTTTTCATCTTATTGACACATTCGTCTTTCAAAGAAGGCGTGGTTACCAGCAGTACAGATGTAGAAACTGATATGGTATTCTGGAGTTGGATTTCTTCACTTCCACTTGTCAGAATTCCAACCACTAGACCATTGGGATAAAAGGGTTTGTTTGTGTAGCGGGTTTGTACGCCCACAACCCCCCAAGCGAACGCGCCTGTAACATCAATCGAGCATCCATAGTGCAGATCTTCTGACACCACTAGGGCACCAAGCAATAGGCAAACCAAGGTAAATGTCATAACATATACGGTAGATCAATCCAGTCAGGTAAACTACTTGATGTTCCCACCCTAGATCCCACCATATATGGGCAATGAGAAAATCCAGACAAAATACAAAAAACAGCACACAACAAACAAGCCAGGACTAGACCACCGAGGCGATTCAATTCCTCGGCACAAAATATTTACAGGGACGCACAGCATTGTGCTGCCGAAACAGGTACGGTACCGGTACCATTCAGTGGTGCCTGCGGCACCCAGATCAGCCAGCAGCAAGAGCAGCAGAGAGGGAAAAACGGAGAGCCTGGGAGACTGCCGAGAAAATCCTTTTCACACTCTTGACGCAGTGATAAGTAGACGAGCCTCGCCAAGAGGGTGCAGGAAGCGTGGTGCCACAGCTCAACGAGAAATTGGAGCAGCAGCGGTTTCAAGGTGCTTCCGTGGCAATCTCTGGAGGATTCAACACTTGGTGCGGGCCGGCTGGAGGCCCCAGGGAGCATCTGTCCGTGCCGTGTGTCTCCAGCGCCTCCTTTATTTTAGCAATCTGATGTGAACGGTGGAGAGTGGATAGGGTAGGGTGGGAAAGACAGGGAGATTCAACACTAGGTGCGCACTGGCTGGAGGCCCCTCCTTTATTTTCGCAATCTGATGTGATTAGTGCATAGTGGACCAAGCCGGGCCGGCGGAAAGGGTGGGGCGGGAGATGGGACGGGAGGGGAAGGATGTCGTTCCGCAACAACACAATGTTTGTATCTCCATTGCTTCCTTGATTATAGCGATCTGAAGTGAATGGTGTTTAGTGGACTCTAGTGTATGCGACTAGCAGAGCTGCTTGTTCGAGTGGAGTGAGGTGACTTGTGTGTTCACCTCGGCTTGTAGTGGGCTTGAGGGAGCACACAGCACGACTTACCGAGGTGAGGGTTGCAGGGAAGGCGTCGAGCAGCTCGTCAGCGCCCCGATAGAAGTGGAAGAAAGGGAGGCGCTTGATTCCTAGCGACCAGTAGAGATGCTTGTTTGGGTCGCACTGAGTGACTTTTGAGTCGACTGAAAAGCACAGCCTGGCCTAGTGTATGGAAGGGTGGCAGTACCGAACATACCGAGGTGAGTGTCGCAGGGAAGGCGTCTAGCAGCCCGTCAGCGCCCCGGTAGAAGTGGAAAAAAGGCAGCCGCTTGATTCCAAGCGAGCGGCACAGCTGCTTGTTGGGGTCGAACTCAACCTGGAGGAAGATGACGTCCGGGTGCTTCGCCGCCAGCATGCAGAGCTGAAGGAGAAAGCGAAGGGATGAAGAAAAGAAAGGACGGAGGAAGAGAGGAGGAAAGAGAAGGACTGAGTGACCGGCAGAGCTGCTTGTTGGGGTCGAACTCGACCTGCAGGAAGATGACGTCTGGGTGCTTCGATGCGAGCATGCACAGCTGAAAAGGGAGGGGGGAAATGGGGAAGCAAATGTAGGGAGACGTGGTGGGTTGCGGAGAAGAGGAGGGCAAAGCAGAGCTGCTTGTTGGGGTCGAACTGGACTTAGAGGAAGATGACGTTAGGATGCTTCGATGCCAGCATGCAGAGCTGAGGGGGGAGACGGGAGAGTGGTTAGGGGAGGAAGTGTCGGGAAACTGCTTGTTTGGGTCGAACTCGACCTGGAGGAAGATGACGTCCGGATGCTTCGATGCCAACATGCACAACTGAGGGGGGGGGGAAGTGGGGGAGCGGGGGTTGGGTGAGGGGAAGAGGGGGTACGGAACAGAGCTGCTTCTTGGGGTCGAACTCGACCTGCAGGAAGATGACGTCAGGATGCTTCGATGCCAACATGCACAGCTGAGGGGACTGAAGAGACAGAAGGGGAGGCAGTGCGGAGGACACTGTGAGGGGAAGGAGGGCGGGAAGGGGGAAAGAGCGACCGGCAGAGTTGCTTGTTGGGGTCGAAAACGTGGAGGTTTTGTCAGTGAGCGTCGACGCCCGCATGCACAGCTGAAGGGAGAGAAGTGAGAGGGGGAAGAGGAGGGGGAGGAAGGGGAGAAAGGAGAGGAGGGGGAGGGGGGTGCGGAGGGGAAGGAGGGTGAGGAAAGGAAGGTGGGGGAGAAAATGAGGGGAAGGAGGCGCGGGCTGTTCTACTGCGCCTTTTTCTACAAGGTAGGGACGTGAAAGTAGGGTAATTTTGATATGTCTAAAAAATACACTACTTTCACGTGGAAGGAGGCGCGGGCTGTTCCACTGCGCTTCTTTCCACAAGGTTGGGACGCAGAAGGTATAAAGCACGCAGGAAATATTTCACCTTGGGGTGCATAGCGCGGCACGAGCGGCACCAGGTCCCGAAAAAGTCAACCACCACGAGTTTGTCCCCCGCCGCGCCTAGCGCCTCCACGAATTCCGCCGTGTTCGCCACGTGTCGCATGTTCGCTGGCACGCGCCGCTCCCACCAGTTTTCGCTGGAAGGAAGGGGAATCTGGTTTCCCGCGCCGACTCCTGTGCCTATCCCTATGCCAAGCCCCGGCATGGGTTGCGCAAGGGCGCTGCGGACGGTTATCGCCCCCCCGCGATTGCCTTGTAGCAAATCCGCGCTCCGCAGACTGCGCAGCGACGTGAGACGGGGGAGCGGTTGGGCGACGAGGCTGGACGAAAGTCCTCGCCCGCGTGACGAGGCGGAAGAAGCGGCGGAACGGGAAGGAGCGGCGGAGACGGAAAAGGCAGAAGCTGAGGGCGCGGAAGACGCCTGCAGCGCGAGAGGCGGATGGATAGTCGCCATATTGAGTTGCTTCGAGTTGTTGGATTACGTTGGAGACGTCTCCGAGTAAAAACTCGGGCAGACAAAAAACCCAAGGATGAAGAGCGATGGTGATTGGCGGAGAGCTCACGCAGAAGGTGCTCGTGACGGTGCTTTACAGGAAAGTCCCAGCGAGGGTATTACGGATTCTACTCGCGTCGACGAATTTACATGTATTTGCCGGGACTGATGCGCGTTGGATTGCATGCACGCACCTTTGGGACAACGCGCAGCGTCCTACTTTTCACGCCTTTGAAACGAACGCGCAACTAGGAAACTGCAGCGTTCGAGTGGCGCTCGCTGACAGCAGCATGAGATGAGAGACTCTTGCAGAGGAGTGTCCTTCAAAAGTGTATTTGAACACATGCGCTTTTTCTCAGAAGAATTCTGGTGTGGCCTGACCCCTCCCTAGAGTGTCACTGCTGAGGAAGCGGTTGCGCCACTGGGATCTGCGCACACACGGTCCCCAGGGCCCACCACTTTCCCCTCCACACCCAAACACCGACTCAAAAACAATTCCAACCACCCTTAACTCATTGAACACCACTGCTCTGCCGCCACTGTGGCTGAATTATAGGGGCGGACACAGGGATGTCGCGGAATCTTGTGGTGGGAAAGGGGGAAAGGGGGAGGGGAAGCGCAGCGCGCTTGATTTCTTCGGAGTTAGCACAGCGCGCCAATTCTAGCAGCGCAAACCAGATCTGCGGTTCTGTGGTTGAGCGATTGCACAATCACTGGGTCAGGGTGGCCGTCAAGCGTGCTGCGGAGAGGAGGGCGCAAACAGCCTCTTGCCGAATGGCGTCGCGCGGTGGAGGTCAGTGATTGGCTCAGTCACTTCCATTCTTGCGAGCCACAGGAGCCCTAGATTGGTGCCTGTAATTCGCTGATGTGGCTGGGTGTCCGATTTTCAAAGCAAGTACATTCATAGGGCATATCTTGCCAGCTCCTTGCGCTGTGGCGAAACGTGAGGGGAGTGACGAGGCTGTGAAGGCCGCCTGCCTCGCTGGTGCCGTGTCAGAATACATATAGATTCGTAAACTGCTAATACTAGGTGGACACCATAACAGTTTCATGTGTGTTTAAAACACCCAACTACTTCTCATGACATTATCTGGTTCTGACATACATGCTACGAAAATATACACACATTTAAAGAATTACATTGTTGATGAAATAATTATCTTATAATAATATACTTTCTCCAGCCCTCGAAAAAAATGGTTAAACTTTCTTGAGAACTTTCAATTGGCTGTGTACGCGCTTTGTATATATGAGCATTGTCGTTGCTGCTTTTCCACCGAACATCATCTTACACTATCGAGGCATGTCGACCCTTCCCTGTAATTCCGCGCGTGCCGCGAGAGCACCCTACTGGCCTTCACACGTTCCTGGGTGGTGGCGCCACAACTTCCAGCATCCCGCGCGAAGTTCTCAGAGAACCTCCTTCTCGCACCCCTACTTAGCGAGCCACGGAACTGTTTTCGTAAGATGCTGGTTACTACCAATAGAAGCTATGCCGAAGCAGTTTCTGAGGTTGGGATACTAAGCTAAGATGACCAAACTAGACGTGACCTAGCTGCGAGCGTGGCGTCAGTGCTTTCCGAGCCAAGGGTTGAGGTACGAGCAAACTAGGTCCTGGTTTTTGCTTGCGGGTCAGCCCTGGTTTGGCTCGGTCAGAGCCTCTGATGCCTAGAAGTTGTCCTGCAGAGATCCCAACACAACTTGGCCCAACACCCAGCACCTTTTTCTCCTAAACTTGTGGCCTTTTCACTCACATACCTGACACACCTTTAAAGTGGTTAGGCCTATTGTGCATCTTCCCAGGTGACTTCAGCAGCACGTTTTTTTTCAGCAATAATGGAAGACCGTAGTTATCCTGTGAAGTCAAAAGAAGTTATTCCTGTTCAGAAAAGTTTACGACTTCCTGTTGAGTTTGAGTTTGAGGTTGATTTTGAGTTTCATTGCACATACCACCACTTTGACGTGCCCGTTACTTAGTAAGCTCTCCTATCGACGCTGACGCACCAGATTAGCGACGTACAGTCATTTCAACATCCGATTTTACTTCATAACTCCAGTGCCACGCGAGATAGTCGTAGTTTCTTGTCCGAAACAACAGCTAAGGATCGTAGTCCTTTTTTTCTCAACACAGCAGCAGAGAGTCTCAGGATTTTCGCCGACCAATAGGAACACAGTGCTGGCCGTACTGCTTTACTGGACGTACGCCTGGCCGAGCAGCAGGCGTGACGTTTGTTATTTCACGCTGAACGACACAGCTGAAGGTTGCTCTCTGAGCATATCCCACGAGCCAAGCCGATCATTTGTCACAAAGTCTGTTCTGATGACCAGCACCCGAAGGTGCTGCTATCAGATATGTCGCTTGTCTCAGGATCTAACAATCAGAAGCTTGCCGGTTTGTCAATCAGAAGCGCTAACAACCGTCCGATAGTCCCGTCATGCAAGATTGTTCCATCATGAAAGCAATCGTGGTGGCCGACACCAACAGACGACGTATCTAGAAGCTTATTCCTTTTCATCCCAAAAGCGGTCATAGCGTAGCGACCATCTCATAATCATGAAGGCCATTGTGGTGGCCGGAACGCACAGCGGCGTGGGCAAGACGAGTGTTGCCGTGGGGCTCATGGCCGCCTTCCGCCGGCGAGGACTCCGCGTGCAGCCGTTCAAAGTCGGACCCGGTGCGAAGCGATACAATACAATACAATACATTACATTACGTTACGATGCGCTGTTGATCCAGGAGGCTTTTTTCTTCTTCCCGTTTCCGACTCTGATTGAGGTTTCTGGATGCCTGATGCCGGCTTGGGGCGACTTCTCTCTGGTCTTTGAGCATAGCTGTGGTGCAGAGTTGTCAGCAATGGTATCTAGTCCTGATCCTTGTATCGTATCCGTATGTCGCATGTTGTATTTGGCATGTTTGATGTGACATGTCGCATGTTGTATTTGGCATGTTTGATGTGACATGTCGCATGTGGGGTGTTCACGTGGCATGTTGTGTGTGACATGTTGTGTGTGGGATCTTGTAGCATGTTTTACTGGCATGCTGTGTTTGGCATGTCGTATGTGGGATGTTGTACGTGGCATGTTGTGTGTGACATGTTTTATGTGGGATGTGGTAGCATGTCTTATCTGGCATGGTGTGTATGGCGTGCCATTTGTGAATATTCTGTGGTATGTTGTATGTGGAATATCATACGTGGCATGTTGTATGTGGCATGCTCCATGTGACATGCTGCACGGGGCATCTTGGATGTGCCATGTTATGTGGGATGCGTGTGGCAGATTTTCTGGACCCGATGCACCATCAGGCGGCTACAGGGCGAGACTCGTACAACCTGGATGGGTGGATGCTCAACAGGTAGGCTTGAGCAAGGTGGCGAACACCTGTTCGGTTCGCCTCGAATTCAGCTTAAATCATTCGCCCGAACGTGTTCGAGGTTCCCCCGAACACGTTCGTGTTCGTGGCGCTGCTGCAGAACGCCCCGTGTCGAACACGAACGTGTTCGAGGTTCGCCCGAACACGCCTCCACAGGCGAACAGCGAACACCTGTTTTTGGCTAAACTGTTCGCCGAACCGAACAGTGTTCGGTTCGGCAAAAGGGCGTGTTCGAGAAGGGGTGAACACGAACATGTTCGTGTTCGCCCTTTGCTCATCCCTATCAACAGGTATGGTTTTATTGAGGAGATGGATGGATGGGTGGGTGGGTGGGGTTGGATAGGTGGATGGATGGGTAGATGGTGGGGAAATAGGCGGAGAGACGAGGCTTGTACAACCTGGATGGGTGGATGCTCAACAGGTATGGTTTTATCGCGCCGATGAGTGGATGGGGGTGATTGAGTGCATGGTTGAAGGGTGGGTGGACGGATGTGTGCGGGACGGATGGATGGGTGGTGGTTGGATGGGTGCATGGGTGAATGGGTGGGTGGACGGACCGGTGGATGGGTGAATGAATGGATGGGTGAATGAATGGATGGGTGAATGAATGGATGGGTGAATGAATGGATGGGTGAATGAATGGATGGGTGAATGAATGGGTGGGTGAATGAATGGATGGGTGAATGAATGGATGGGTGAATGAATGGATGGGTGAATGAATGGATGGGTGAATGAATGGATGGGTGAATGAATGGATGGGTGAATGAATGGATGGGTGAATGAATGGATGGGTGAATGAATGGATGGGTGAATGAATGGATGGGTGCAGCAACGTCCCCTTGGTTCTTCTCCGTTTTTCCCCCTTTTTTCCCCGTTGCCCCCATATCCACTTCTCTCCTTCAGGGAGGCCAACGTGGCGTGTTTCACCCGATTCGCAGACTCAACTGACGTGGCAGTAGTGGAGGGCGTGATGGGGCTAATTGACAGCAGCAGCATCAGAATCAGGCCCTCCCCTTGTTCTCCCTGTCCCTTCCCTCACGTTCCCCTCCTCCCTCCTTACCCTCTCGCCCTCTCCTATTTCTCGTGTCACTACCCGGCCCCTCACATCTCACCAGGGAGGCCAACGTGGCATGCTTCACCCGATTCGCAGCCTCAACTGACGTGGCAGTAGTGGAGGGCGTGATGGGGCTATTCGACGGTCGAGATGGCAAGACAGAGGTCGGCAGCACTGCAGAGATGGCCAAGATCATAGGAGCCCCGGTTGTCCTCGTTTTAGACTGCTGGTCTATGTCTAGAAGCGCTGCAGCCATGGTGCACGGTTACGCGTCTTTCGACCCGTCGTTGCGATTCGCGGGGATTATTTTGAATAAGGTTGCCAGCGCAGCGCATGCCACGTGGCTGACTGAGGCGTTAGAATCAGCACACGTCAGAGTTCCTGTCCTAGGTGGCATTCCGAAATCTGCTGACGTGGAGATGCCAGAGCGCCACCTGGGATTGCACCGGCCGGGGGTGGACGCGGACGGGGTGCCAGCTCAGCACGCCGAGCGGCTGGCGACGCTGATTGAAGCCCATGTGGATCTGGACAGGCTGTTACAGCTGGCAGCTGACGTGGCAGGGGCGCCTACGATGGGGCTAGGCGGAGGGGAGGGGAGTGTGTGTGGAGGGGAGGATGTCGGAGAGGGGAGTGTGGTGGGTGGAGGAGGGAGTGTGGTGATTGGGATGGGCGGAGTGGGAGGGGGAGAGTGTGGGGGGTCATCGGCCAATGAGCTGCCGCCGTTGTCGATGCCGCCCGGCATGAAGCTTGCTCGCATTGGAGTGGCGAGAGACGAAGCCTTTTGTTTTTACTATCACGACAACCTGTCACTGCTCAGAGGTGAGACCTTGTATCGAGTATGAGCCAATGCCGCCCGGCATGAAGCTTGGTCGCGTTGGAGTGGCGAGAGGTAACCAGGGCCTGACCCCCCCCTAATCCAGTGTCTGTCTTGTATCTGGAGCTGTGTGCTGCCCTTGCGTCCTGTGTGACGCGTCTACTTTAGAGGCGCTTACCCTGAGTTGCACGCTGCTGCTCTGGCTGCTCTAGCTGCTCTGGCTGCTCTAGCTGCTCTGGCTGCTCTAGCTGCTCTGGCGTGAATTGCATATTTCCAATCACCTTTCTGCCATCTCCTGCCCCTCTCTTCACAATACTGTTTCGCCCCGCCCCACCAGAGGCTGGGGCCAAGACTGTCTTCTTTTCTCCGTTGACTGACTGACCCCCTACCACACTGCCTTGATGCGGTCCACTTCTGAGTCGACTCAAAAGGTGACTTTTGAGTCGACTGAAAAGCCTGGGGCCGAGATTGTCTTCTGTTCTCTGCTGACTGACTGACCCCCTACCACACTGTCTTGATGCGGTCCACTTCGGAGGGGGGTACCCTGAGCTGCACGCGGCTGCTCTGGCTGGTCTAGCTTCCCTGGCTTGCATTCCCAATCACCATTCTTGGCATCCGCCCCTCTGCTCACAATATTGCCTTGTGTTTCCCCACCCCACCAGAGGCCGGCGCGGAGATTGTGTTCTTCTCCCCTTGGACCGACCCTCTGCCGCACCGTATGCATCCTGAGCTGCACACCACTGCTCTGGCTTGGCTTGCATACTTCCAATCACCCTGTGCCATCTTCTGCCCCTCTGTTTTCCAACACCTGTTTTGTCCCACCCCACCAGAGGCCGGCGCGGAGATTGTGCTCTTCTCCCCTTTGACCGACCCTCTGCCGCACCGCCTCGACGCGGTTTACTTTGGAGGAGGGTACCCTGAGCTGCACGCCGCTGCTCTGGCGGCCAACACCAAGCTGGTGTATGCTCTGAGGGCGTTTGCTGCTGCTGGCGGGGTGGTGTATGGCGAGTGTGGGGGGCTCATGTACCTCTCCAGGAGTATAGAAGTAAGAGAGAGGAAGGGAAATTGTTGTGCCCTGTTGCCCTTCCAAGTGGGGAATGAGTTTCCTTTGAGTGGGTGGTGTACGGCGAGTGTGGTGGGCTCATGTACCTCTCAAGGAGCATCGAGGTGAGCGAGAGGAAGGGAGGTTGGTACATGGGTTTATGTTTGGAAGGTGCTACCCTGCACTGCACGTTGCTGTGGTGTATGGCGAGTGTAGCGGGCTCATGTACCTGTCGAGGAGCATCGAGGTGAGAGCGGGGAAGGTAGAGGTGCTTTGAGACGCCAAAATAAACGTCTATGGCAGATGCAGGTTGATGCAGCCACGCGTTCAGCACCCCCAATATCTCGAGTTTTGAGTCGACTCAAAACTCGACTTATCACACGCAGATGCAGGCTGATGAACCCACGTGTTCAGCACCCCCAATATCTCACGCGCCTCTCTCCTCCTTCCTTCTTTTTTCTCCCCCCCTTTTCTCGCTCGCTTGCAGACGAAGGAGGGTGAGGTGCACGAGATGTGTGGTCTGCTGCCCTTTCGCACACGCATGGTCTCCACGCTTAAGCTTGCGTATTGCACGGTGAGTTGTCTGCCTTGAGCTTTGACCATTGCCCGTTGCACACTCCACATTGCACGCTGCCTGTTGCCCACTGCCCACCATTCCTGCATCCCCCCATGCTCCCCCTCACCCCCCCCCTTCCCCCCCCATACCGTATTTATTCTCTCATGTGCGTCCCCAGCCCAACTGTGTGCTGTTCCCAGCGGAGCTGGGCGAGATGAGGGGGCAGTTCTTCCACTTCAGTGAGGTCGTGCTGGATGCCTCTCCCTCCTTTCCCCACCCCACCCCACCCACCTCGTTTCCCCCACCCTGTTCCTCTCTTCCCCCCCGATTCCCCCATTCATGCTCCCAGGTGCGTCCCCAACCCAACTGTGTGTTGTTCCCAGCGGAGCTGGGCGAGATGAGGGGGCAGTTCTTCCACTTCAGTGAGGTCGTGCTGGATGCCTCTCCCTCCTTTCCCCACCCCACCCCACCCACCTCGTTTCCCCCACCCTGTTCCTCTCTTCCCCCCCGATTCCCCCATTCATGCTCCCAGGTGCGTCCCCAACCCAACTGTGTGTTGTTCCCAGCGGAGCTGGGCGAGATGAGGGGGCAGTTCTTCCACTTCAGTGAGGTCGTGCTGGATGCCTCTCCCTCCTTTCCCCACCCCACCCCACCCACCTCGTTTCCCCCACCCTGTTCCTCTCTTCCCCCCCGATTCCCCCATTCATGCTCCCAGGTGCGTCCCCAACCCAACTGTGTGTTGTTCCCAGCGGAGCTGGGCGAGATGAGGGGGCAGTTCTTCCACTTCAGTGAGGTCGTGCTGGATAAGACACTCCCTCCTTCCACCACCCCACCCACCCTGTATCTCTCTTGCCTCTCCATACCCCCATCCCGCCATTTCCCCATTCCCACCCTGTTTTCTCCCAGGTGCGTCCTCAGCCCAACTGTGTGCTGTTCCCAGCCGAGCTGGGCAAGATGAGGGGGCAGTTCTTCCACTTCAGCGAGGTCGTGCTGAACGTGACTCCCCATCTTCCCCACCTCACCAACTCTGTTCCTCTTTTGCCGCTTCATTTCCCCCTGTGTCTTCTCTCTTCTCCCAGGTGCGTCCCCAGCCCAACTGTGTGCTGTTCCCAGCCGAATTGGGCGAGATGAGAGGGCAGTTCTTCCACTTCAGCGAGGTCGTGCTGGATGACGGCTCATTCCTTTCCCCATTCCCCCCTTTTTCTCCCTTGCCCCACCCTCTCTTTGTCTCCTCTCTTCTCCCAGGTTCGCCCCCAGCCCAACTGTGTGCTGTTCCCAGCTGAGCTGGGCGAGATGAGAGGGCAGTTCTTCCACTTCAGTGAGGTGGTGCTGGATGACGGCTCGTTCCACGGCGACCAGCTGGAATTCGGGTAAGCAGGGGTGCTCAGGGGTGTTGAGTGGTACGAGGTGAGCTGGTTCGGTGCAGCATGGCAGGAGGTTGTGCTGGATGACGGCTCGTTCCACGGCGACCAGCTGGAATTCGGGTGAGAAAGGGTTTGGTTTGGTGCTCTATGGTATGCATGAGTTGAGATAGTTTGGGTGCAGCATGGAGGAGGGTGTGCTGGATGACGTCTCATTCCACAGCCACCAGCTGGAGTTCGGGTGAGACCGTGAGAGGAGTATTTGAGGTGGTGTCACAGGCATGGTATGTGGGATGCATGCACATGATGCTGCAGCATGACCAGAGGGTGTGCTGGATGACGTCTCATTCCACAGCCACCAGCTGGAGTTCGGGTGAGACCGTGAGAGGAGTATTTGAGGTGGTGTCACAGGCATGGTATGTGGGATGCATGCACATGATGCTGCAGCATGACCAGAGGGTGTGCTGGATGACGTCTCATTCCACAGCCACCAGCTTGAGTTCGGGTGAGAGGAGTATTTGAGGTGGTGTCACAGGCATGGCATGGCACGACTTGAGGACTCCACCCCTTTTCGTGACCCCCTTCCCCATGCCCTCCTTGCACATTTGCCAGTACCTGACCGAGCAGCATACCCCCCTGGCTGGTTTTTGAGAATTCTAAAAAACCACCCCTTTTCGCGACCCCCTTCCCCATGCCCTCCTTGCACATTTGCCAGTACCTGATCGAGCAGCATACCCCCCTGACTCCTTCGAAGCACACCCTCGCCCCCCCCATCGCTGCTCTCTCCCTCCCCCTCTCCCCTCCCCAGCTACCTGATTGAGCAGCAGACTCCCGGCTCTACTGCTCGTCCAGAGGGCTACATGGCAGGGGCAGTGCTAGCATCCTACGTGCATCTGCACTTCGCCTCCAACCCCTTTCTTCCCTCCCCTCCCTCCCCACCCTCCCCCCTGCCTGCCCTCCCCCTTCCAGGTACCTGATTGAGCAGCAGACCCCCGGCTCTACCGCTCGTCCAGAGGGCTACATGGCAGGGGCAGTGCTAGCATCCTACGTGCATCTGCACTTCGCCTCCAACCCCTTTCTTCCCTCCCCTCCCTCCCCACCCTCCCCCTTGCCTGCCCTCCCCCTCCCCAGGTACCTTATCGAGCAGCAAACTCCAGGCGCCACCTCCCGTCCAGAGGGCTACATGGTGGGGGCAGTACTGGCGTCCTACGTGCATCTGCACTTCGCCTCCAACCCCTCCCTCGCCCACGCCTTCATAGACGCATGCCGAACCGACCCTACCAAATCCGCAGCCGTCGCTGCTGCCTCTGCCTCAGCAGTGGCCGGAGCAGGGGCGGCAGCGGCGGCAGCAGCAGGGGCGGCAGCTGCTGCAGCGGTGGCAGATGCATTGAATGAGGACGATAGGTTGTCGCAGCGATCGGTCTCGTATAATATGTACTCGTCCCCGGTTCACCCGAGCCAGCTGGGGTTGCAGCAGCAGCAGCAGCAGCACCATGGGGTTTCCGGAGGTTGTGCACCCTCTTCTGTGTCTTCTGTGCAGTCTGGGAGCTCGTTTCGTAGGAGGAGTGAGAGCGGAGGGAGGTGGGATGCGAGGGGGTTTGATGCTGGTGGGGGGGTATCGCCTCCTCATTATCTCGAGACGTATGGGAGGGGAGGAGGTGGAGGAGTGGGGGGCGGAAGGGGAGGGATTGGTGGGTCTGGTGGGATGTATTACGGTGGGGGGGTTTCGCCACCTCATTATATGGAATCATATGGGCGAGGAAGAGGGGGAGGGGGAGAGGCAGGGGCAGGATATGGGGGTATTGGAGGACGAGTGTATGATCCCAGGGGGCAGTGGCATGAGGATATTATCCCCAGAGCTCATCCGGGTACTGTTCCTGGTTCTTCAGGTGCTTATTCAGGTGGTTTCTCAGGCAGACCGTCAGGCATTTCGCCTGAGCACGACGACCCCACCGAGGCTGACCTCCAGGCTCGGCGGATGGGCGCTCGCGAGGCAGAGGACCGATCCTCACGTTCAGAATCGTACGTGATTGGAGAGCGCGTGGGCGGTAGCGTTGTCCCATATGTCATGTTTCCGGGCGGCAGCGCCATTGGCAGCGCTGTGGCAATATCATACGGCGGACAATCAAATCACACAGGATATGGATACGGGGCGGGCACAGGCGGCGGAAGTGGGGGGAGAACGGGCAACGGAGGAGGAGGGGGGCGGGGCGGCGTTGACTGGGCTCGATACGAGCTCTCCCCACCCCTCCCTTACCAATCAACAGGATACAGCAGGGAAGGGAATGGCAGTCAAGGGGTGGGAGGGCCGGGGTTCATCCCCTCTCCCATGCGAAGGTCTATATCTGAGCTATGGATGCCTGGGGGTGGGGGTGGTGGGCTTGAGGAGTTGAGCCTGGGCGGAGGGCAAGGGGCGCCTGGGCGAGGGGGAAGAGTGGGGGGAGGAGGCGGAGTGAGAGGAGGAGGAGCGAGAGGAGGAGGGGGAGAGGGGGGAGGGGGTGGGTATGGGGGCCACGGAAGGAGAGACGGTGGGACTAGCGGAAAAGTTCAGGGAGGAGGGACGGGGGCAGGAGGAGCAGGAGGGGAGGGAGGAGGGGAGGGAGGAGGGGAGGGAGGAGGGGAAGGAGTGGGAGGAAGGAGAGGTGGAGGAGGAGGGTCTAGTAACAGAGGTGGTGGGGGTGGTTCAGTGGCGGGGAGATCAGAAAGTGGAGGAGGAAGTGGAGGAGGAAGTGGTGGTGGTGGTAGCTCGACCTCGGATCCCTCGGCATACCTCTCCACCGCTGCCAATCCCTCTTCAGCAGTTGCTTCTGGAACAGATGGCAGGAGCTATGCGGATTCCGGTTCGGCTTCGGATTATGATGAGATGAATGCGAGCGACTTGCGGAGCTCTTCGGAGTTTGATGAGGGGCTGACGTCTAGTGGGCGGCTGTCGGACTTTGTGGGGAGCAACAGTGGGAGGAGCATGGAGCAGATTTTTGAGACGGGGGGAGGGGTTGGAGGAGGGGTGAAGGGGCCTTCAAGTGGGAAATTGGCGGATTTTGTGAGTGCAGGTGTAGGGGTTTTGGGAGAAGGAGGAGGAGGAGGGGGAGGAGGGGGAGGAGGGGGAGGAGGAGGAGGAGGAGGAGGAGGAGGAGGAGGAGGAGGAGGAGGAGGAGGAGGAGGAGGAGGAGGAGGAGGAGGAGGAGGAGGAGGAGGAGGAGGAGGAGGAGAAGGAGGAGGGGGAGGAGGTGGAGGAGGAGGCAGGGGAGGAGGGTCAGCTGGTGGATCTCTTAAGAATTTATCAGCTGGATCGATGAGGAAGCTCGCTGCTGCTGCTGCTGGGGCTGCTGCTCAGGCAGAGGGGACTGGGCATGCCAAAAGTGGAAATGTTGGCATAAGTGGAAGTGTTGCAAAAAATGGAAATGGTGCCAGAAGTGGGAGCGGAAGCTGGAGCGGTTCAGGGCGTGTGGCGTGGGTGGGAGAGAAGAGTGGGGAGGGAGAGAAGGGAGAGGAGAGAGGGAAGATGGAGAATGGGGGGTGGCGGGACGCGGCGGGGCGTGGTTCGAGGTATTTTGAAGCAAGAGACACAGTTGAGGGGTTTCAAGAGGTAGGGGCGGAGGAGAGAAGGGAGGTGAGTTGGGAGGAAGAAGAGGAGGAAGAGGAGGAGGAGGATGAGGTGGGGACCGAGCAGGAGGAGGAGAGAGAAGCGCCTAGGACAATGCGTCTGGACCCTCGTTTGGTTGAGGAAGTGAGGGAGAGAGAGATGGAGAGGCAGAGGGAGAGACAGAGGCAGGAGGAAACGGTGGGGATCGAGCAGAAGGGGCAGAATGGGCAGCAGGTGCAGCAGTTAGGGGAGGATGGGCAGACAGGGAGGTATACCCATGAGGATCAAATGCAGCAGCGGCAGCAGCAAAAGCATCTGCAGAAGCATCAGCAGCAAGAGCAGCAGCATGCTCGGAAGCACTCGGATGTAAACGAAGCTTCTAGTGCGGCAGATGGGAAGGGCACTAGGAGTGGCAGCAGCGGCAGAAGCAGTGGCAATAGTGACGGGTTCCGTTCCCTGCCCACCCAGCTGTACCGCACTCTGCTCCGCGACACCCATTTGCACCACTCTCATATCCACGACGCCCAGGTTCAGAGGAGCTTCACTGGAACTTTAGCATCTGGTGCTGCTGCTGGTGGTGGTGGCGGTGGTGGTGCTGCTGCTGCTAATGCTGGTGGTGCTGCTGCTAGTGCTGGTGGTGCTGGTGGTGCTGGTGCTGCTGGTGCTGCTAGTGGCAGCATAACAGTGAGCAGGAGCGCGAGTGGGAGGCTCTATACTGAGAATGAGGTGTCTCTCAAAACGTCGCAGAAGCTTTATATCGAGGATGAGGTTTCCAGTCAATCACGAGCGGTGAGGGTAGCAGGAGGGGCAGTGGGAGCAGCGGCAGGAGGGGCAGAAGGAGCAAGGGAAGGAGCCAGAGCAGGGGCGGCGGCAGAGGCAGTGGTAGTGGCAGGAGCAGGAGGAGCAGGAGCAGCAGGGGGAATGGGAAAAGGGGGGATGGGGGAAGAGGTATTGGGGAGAGGGGGAATGAGGTCCGCGGATGGGACTCCAACGAAGACTGCTAGTGCGCCGCTCCTTACAGGCCTGCATGTTACAAGCACTCCCGATGCTGCCATTGCCCCTGCTGCTGGTGCTGGTGCTTCTGCTGCTGCTGGTAGTGGTGGTAGCAGGGGGGTGGGAGGGGCGGTTTTGTCAGCACATGGGAGCTATGGGCACATGTCTGGGCTTGCCACTCAGGCTGCAAACGCTGCCCATGCCACTCACACCACCCATGCCACTCACGCAACTCACACCCCCCACATCACACATGCTGGGCATTCTTCCATGAACGCTCATACCCCACCCCATCCTCACTCCTCCATGCATCCCCCTCCTCCTCAGCATCCTCACTCCTCTCACTATCCTCCCCAACACCCCCCTTCCCATCATTCTCAGCATCAGCAGCAGCTGCATCATCATCATGACCATCAAAATCAGCAGCAGCAGCAACAGCAGCAGTACCAGCAGCAACATTATCCTCTTTACTCTCAACCCCTCCCTCCTCTCAGCACTCCTTTTTCTGGCCCTCCCCTCTCAGCAGCTGCTACAGGGGCTCAACCCACCCTTCTTCCTACTCCTTCAAATCTACCCCAGTTCAACACTCCTCCCGAACCTGCTTCCAAGGCTGCAGCCGAAGCTGCTGCCGAAGCTGCAGGTCGGGGTGCTCAAGCTTTTCAGGCTGCCCGTTTGGGACCAGAAGCAGAGCCTGAGAGTGACGCTTTCTTTGATTCCTGCCCGAACTTTGAATCCCCAAAACTGAAATTCCACACTCCCCCATCTGACGTGAATGCGTCTCTCCTCAATTCAGACTCCCTCACTCTCTCAGACCCTCACACTCTTCCCACTCCCCCCACACACTCTCATTCCCACACCCCCCCTGCCCCCAACACTCACTCTGGCCTGCATTCCTTCTCAGAATCTCACAGTTTCTCTCATTTCCACACTCACTCTGACCCTCACACCTCCTACCCTCACGCTCACCTTCACGTTTTCTCAGATCCCCACACTCACTTCTCCCCTTCTAAAGACTTCTCGTTTGGTACGAGAAGGAGGTTGGATCTGGGTCAAGCGAACGAGGGGGGGAGATGGGGAGAAGGGTTTGGGGTAGGGGAAAGCAGGGGAAGGTTAGGGGATGAGGGTCCGCAGGGGGGGATGCAGCAGGGAGAGCAGCAGTGGCAGAGGCTGGGAGAAGGACAGGTGCAGGGGCAGGGGCAGGGGCAGGGGCAGGGGCAGGGGCAGGGGCAGAAGGAGCAGGATCAGGGGCAGTGGCAGCAGCAGCCGCAGCAGCAACTGCAGCAACAGCAACAGCAACTGCAGCAACAGCAACAGCAACTGCAGCAACAGCAGGAGCAGAAACAACTAGAGCAGAAGCAGGAGCAGGGGCAAGGGGACAAAGTAGGGAGCTTGATAACTGCAGGACAAGCCAGTCTGGCTGTGGCAGATACGGTGGAGGGCTGGATGCGGTGTAAGGGGGTGGAGACAGGTGCTGGTGTGACAGTAGGGAGTTACAGGGTGGCTGCAGCAGGGTTGAGAATGGCAGGTGGAATGGGGGGTGTATTTTCAGGTGGAATGTCAGGTGGAATGGCAACAGAGGGACGCCAGGTGGGAGGGAGAAGCAGGAAGCCTCGTGTGGTGTCACTGTCACCTTCAGCAACAGATATCATCGTGGCACTCAGTAAGTGGTTCGGTGCTGCGCGGTGTGGTGTGGTGTGGTGTCGTGCCCCACGATCTCGGCTTTGGCAGACTGCTCTGCCCCTCAACCGCCACAACCCTCCCTCATTTGCTCCCTTCACCCACACCCGGATCTTACCCTGCTTTTGAGTTGAGTCGACTGAAGTATTTTCAACTTGAAAATCACACCCCATTCTGTTGCGGCTTTTCAGGGGCGACGGACCAGCTGATTGGCTTGTCAGATTTCGAGACGTCTCAAATCTAATATAATCCCTTCATTCACACCCATTCTTTTCTTGCTTTTCAGGAGCAACGGACCAGCTGATTGGCTTGTCGGATCAGTGCCGCCCATCCAGCTCCCTCCCACACCCATGCCACGTGGTATACTGATGTCAACCCTCTTCCAATCATGTTGTCTTGACATGCTGCCATGCCATGAGTCACTATCCCATACGGCCATGCCATGTGTCATCATCCCATACGGCCATGCCATGTGTCATCATCCCATACGGCCATGCCATGTGTCATCATACCATACGGCCATGCCATGTGTCATCATCCCATACGGCCATGCCATGTGTCATCATCCCATACGGCCATGCCATGTGTCATCATACCATACGGCCATGCCATGTGTCATCATCCCATACAGCCATGCCATGTGACATCATCCCATACGGCCATGCCATGTGTCATCATACCATACGGCCATGCCATGTGTCATCATCCCATACGGCCATGCCATGTGCCATCATACCATACGGCCATGCCATGTGTCATCATCCCATACGGCCATGCCATGTGTCATCATCCCATACGGCCATGCCATGTGTCATCATCCCATACGGCCATGCCATGTGTCATCATCCCATACGGCCATGTCATACCATAATGCCATGCCATGTGTGTTCCACCTCCTCCGGTCGCTTCCCAACTGCTTGTTGCAACCAGGTGCTTCGCTGCCCTGCTGCCAGCAAGCCGTCTTCAAAGGTGAGTTTTGCTTCCGTTACATGCTTTTTTAGTTGACTCAAAAACCTGCCGTTTCCCTCATCCCAATCGTGTAGTTCCTACCAGGTGCTTCGCTGCCCTGCAGTCAGCTAGCTGTGTTTTCAAAGTGAGTTTTCCACCCTTTGCATGCTCCTTGTGTGTGTGACCGTTTCAACTTGTGGGATCTCCTGTCTCTACTAGGCAATAGGGTGTTACCTCCCAGTGTAATGAGTTGTGTTTTCAGTTGACTCGAAACATGACCGTTTCAACTTGTGGGATCTTCTGTTTCTACTAGGCATTAAGGTGTTATCTCCCAGTGTAATGAGTCCTGTTTTGAGTCGACTCAAAACATGACCGTTTGAACTTGTGGGATCCTCTGTGTCTACAAGGCAATAAGGTGTTATCTCCCACCCTCCCTCCCACCCTCCCTCCCACCCTCCCTTCCTCCCTCCCTCCCTTCCGCCCTCCCTCCTCCCTCCCTCTCTCCCTCCTTTTCCCGTTCTTAGGTTCAAGCCTCCCCTTGTGTGCTGGATTCGGAGTGGTTGAGAGCGGTGCAGCCAGATGTGGTGCTCTTGGGGGGCTCCACTGCCTGCCTGCGCTGCGACCTGCACTGGCAAGATGGAAACACACAGCCCACCGCTGTTGCTGCTGCAGCTAATTCTGCTGATTCTGCTACTGCTGCTGGGGTTTCTGATGCTGCTGGTGCTGCTGCTGCTAGTGCTGCTGCTGCTGCTGGTGCTGCTGGTTCTGGAGGGTCAGCACAAGGCCCAACAGCAGGAGGACTAAAGGGATCAGGAGTGGCAGAAAAGGGAAGCCATTGTGACAGCCGTACCTTAGCTGCAGAGGTTCGGAGGAGCCTCGGTGAATCAAGCTCGGGAGAAGGAGGCGGTGCATCAATCGTTTCTCTCCGACCCGCCACAGTGAGTTCCCAACTCGTAGGCCAACTTGATAATTTAATGTGAGACTTTTGGGACAACTCTTGAAAATCCAGGCTTGGGAGAAGGCGGCGCATCAATCGTTTCTCTATGTGCTGCCACAGTGAGTTCCCAACTCGTAGGGCAAGTGGTCAATATAATGTGAGGCTTTTGGAACAATGCCTGAGAACTCAGGCTCGGGAGAAGGCGGCGCATCAATCGTTTCTCTCCGTCCTGCCGCAGTGAGTTCCCAATCGTAGGGCAACTTGGTTGGTTGGTGACACAGTTGAGTTTTTCCAAGTCAGATTGGCAACTTCATTCCAATATCACTCGGAGAAGATACCTTTGATTGCTTTTCTCCGTAGCAGCCCTTCGTCCCGCCACAGTGAGTTCCTAACTCAATAGGGCAATGTGGTTGGGGACACTAATGAGAATTCCCAAGTCAGCTTGGCAACTTGATTTTAATATCACTCGGACAGACCTTAGATCGCTTCTCTCTGTAGTGGCTCTTCGTCCTGCCACAGTGAGTTCCCAACTCGTAGGGCAACTTGGAGAGACTTTTGAGTCGACTCAAATGGTCACAGGGAGGAGGTGACACATCAGTCGTTTCTCTCCGTCCTGCCACAGCCCTGTGGTGACTGTGGGTGCCCCGTATATGCCTCTCCCCCGGGCCTCATCTCCCCATCCCACCAGCTCTCCCAGGTGATTGAGTCGGTGGTGGTGACTTGTTGGGGCATCTCTGGGTCTGCACCAGCCAGCCCAGGCCATCCCCTGTATAAACCTCTCTTTCTTCTCTTACATGCCTCTCACTCTCTCCACACCCCACCAGCTCTCCCAGGTGCTTTAGTCAGTGGTCACTGTGAGGGCAGCGCTGGGTCTGCACCAGCCAGCCAACGCCTCCCCCTTTATAACCCTTTCTCCCGGTTCCCCCACCTGCCACTCCTCTCCTCCCACCCCACCAGCTCCCCCAGGTGCTTGAATCAGTGGTCACTGTGAGGGCAGCTCTGGGTCTGCGCCAAGCAATGCCATCCCCTTTATAAGCCTCCCGCCTGTTTCCTTATTTGTCTCCCCTATCACCTGCCAGCTCGCCCAGGTGCTAGAGTCCGTGGTCACTGTGGGGGCAGCCCTAGGTCTGCAGCAGCCACAGGCCCTCACATCCCACCTCCACCTGCGCCTCCGCTCCCTCGCTGCTGCCCTCGCCACCGCCCCCCGCCCCCCCTGAATCACCTCCCTAGAGATGATGCAATGACTGAGAGTTCATCTCCCTCCAGTTATGGTTGGCGGGGCATTGACTGGCTCTGTTCCCCATTCTCCTGTCCGCCCCTCCTCCCCACCCCACCAGCTCTCCCAGGTGCTAGAGTCAGTGGTCACTGTGGGGGCAGCTCTAGGTCTTGTTTTGAGTCGACTCAAAGCACCAGCCAACCCAGGCCTACTGTTTATAACCCTCTCTTTCTTCTCTTACATGCCTCTCACCCTCTCCCCACCCCACCAGCTCCCCCAGGTACTAGAGTCGGTGGTCACTGTGGGAACAGCCCTGGGTGGGTCTGCACCAGCCAGCCCAGGCCCTCTCCCTTTATAACCCTCTCTTACTTCCCTTATCCGCCTCTCACCCTCTCTCCACCCCACCAGCTCGCTCAGGTGCTAGAGTCCGTGGTCACTGTGGGGACAGCCCTAGGTCTGTATCAGCCAGCCCAGGCCCTCTCCTCTCACCTCCACCTGCGCCTCCGCTCCCTCGCTGCTGCCCTCGCCACCGCCCCCCGCCCCCGGGTCACCTCCCTAGAATCCATCTCTCCTCTCGTTATGGCTGGGCATTGGCTTCCCGAGATGAAAGTTTTGGCCGGGGCGGATGATGGCGGGCTGCAGGAGCCGGGCAGCCCGGTGCAGAAGGTTTTGTGGGAGAGCATTACAGCGTTTGGGCCGCAGGTGCTGTTTCTGACGCCGTGTGCTGCTGATGTGACGACTGCTCTTGCTCAGGTGAGGGTGGGAAGGGTTGAGAGGTAAGGCGTGGGGTAGGGGTGGAGTAAAAGTTTAAGGGAGGGGGGGGGGGGGAGGGGAGAGGGAGAGTTACAGCGTTTGGGCCAGGTGCTGTTTCTGACGCCGTGTGCTGCTGATGTGAATACCGCTCTTGCTCAGGTGAGGATGGAAGGAAGAAGTGTAGCGGTGTAAGGAGTGGGATAGGGGTGGAGTGAAGGGTAAGTATGGGGGGGGCGGAGAGTTGGGAGAGTTACGGCGCTTGGGCCTCAGGTGCTGTTTCTGACGCCGTGTGCTGCTGTTGTGAAGACTCACTCGCTCGAGGTTGGAAGTGGTGAGGGGTGATGAGTGGGGATGGGGGGTGTGGGGGGTGAGGGGTGAAGGGTTAGGGGCGAGGGTTGAAGGGTATAGGGTTTTGGTAGTTGATTCAAAAGAGCACATGTCTGTGTTGTTGTGACAGAAAGGTCCCATCTCGCTTTTGTAAGATTCTTCATTTGCAAGCCTGTCCCTGCCTTCCCCCTCATGTCGTGTTCTTTTTCACAGGTTGAGGCGCTTGCTCGCCTGCCCGGTTTTTGGTCGCTGCCCGCAACTGAATCTGGGCAGGTTTACATTATCGAGTCATGTCTCTTCCTCAACGCAGGCCCGCGATTGGTCGATGGTGTTGAGTTGCTAGCCAGAATTATTCATCCTGACCGAGTAGCTGTGCCCTTGCCGCCCGGATGCTTCGTCTTGAAGCTGGAACTTAGTAGGGAGAAACACTACCGAGCAGGGGACGTTCATAAACATTTTAGGCTGCTTCTGTAGACTTAGACAGGCTTGTTTTGCAATGGTCATATAGGTGGTGTAGCTATAGTGAGCGTAGCCAAGTAGATGTGTAGGTTTAAGTAGCAACCATATGTCATGTAGAACATAAAGTTCAAAGCAACAAAGGCTTAGCACATTTTTTGTATCTTATTATTTGATAGGTAAAAGATTTAGCGGCCATCTCTTTTACTTGCTGCTTGATAGGCAAACAGAGACAGTTGGGTAATTACCTCCTGGGTAACCAGCATCGAGCCCGCTCACGTCCGCAGTTTGCCACGTGGCTGGATGGTACCCATCAGATCATCCGAACCCCTTCGTGGTACCCATTATCCCTGCGTGGTAAGGTAACCTTTGTCCCTACGTGGTCACAGTCAACACTCATCGAATTCCCTGATTGGTACCGTATTACCCCGGATAGAAGCGCATGTGCGCTTATAATAAAACAATGTTTTTTAGAGGGGTGCGCTTCTAATCGAGTCATGTGTATAAGCGCATGCGCTTGTAATAGGAAAAAAAATCACTTTTAAACATACCAAATTGAAGCCCGCAATAAGGCGAATTCAACCGACCATGCAACACGTGGGATCGTGCATGGTTTCCAGACAAAAACAGCAGCGGTTCGGTTTCCCACCGCACAGTTTTGTCTAGAACCATCGATCGTGACAGCAGTGACGGGGATGTTGCCGTGCGGCCCAATCACAGTCGCATGCATTGCGTGGCATGTGCATTTCTTCCGAACCCTCTCGAAGGGTGGGGAATATTCCCTGCCAGCGCAGCTTTTATGCTGCCACGCAGGGTCCTCTACGGGGGTAGGCGTGGGTTTCCCGCCTGTCATTGACGAGGACCCCGAGGCGCCAACCTTACGGGGTCCCCTTCGTTGCCCATTTGTGCACCCTCGTTCTCATTTTTTTCATTCAGATTCCAGTGTAGGCCGCCTGGCTGGCAAAGCCATGGCGGAATTCAGCGGGACGCACTTCCTCTTCAAGAACAAGAGAGCTCGCCCATGGCGACTTACCGACGATGGGTGGTATACCCGTGAGCCCGCAGCGCCTCCAGTGCCACCTGAACCCCCAGCGCCCCCTGCTCCTCCTGCTCCTCCTGCACCTCCTGCTCCTCCTGCTCCTCTCGCACCTCCCGCTCCTCCAAATCCGCCTGATATCGGTGCCAGTGCTCACCAACGGCCCGTGCTCCAGCTGTATTTACCAGCCACTTTCGACGAGTGGCTGTCTGAACCGGACACACCCAAGGCCCCTGATGTGTTCATCCAGGCTCCGCCGCCTGCACCACGGTGGGGACAGCCCGAAGCTTGCACGTGGGACGAGTCGGCTGTGGGCGCCGACGATGACGTGGCCGCCGATAAACAAAACAGCGGCGACGACGACGGTGAAGCGGGCGCCGAGGAGGACGTGTTCCCAGATCGTGGTGCAAGTGCCGAGGACGACGACGGTGTGGAGTCATGGTGGCGCGACGCACCACGCGAGAAGATGCCGATACCGACGTATCCGCCGATTAACAAAAAACGACCCCACCCCTCCTCCCAGAACCGAGATGCCCGCCCCCCCTCTCCCAGGCACAAGCCGTCTCAACATAAACGGCAATCCTATACCTCCCAGGAGAAACTCAGGTGGCTCGTGCGGCTGGAGCTGGCGGCATCGATAAGCGAGGTCGCGCGGGAGTCCGGCATACACCGCAAATGCCTGACGGAGTGGAAAACCCAAGCAGAGGAGCTCAAGGCTTCACATGCCGCACGGTGTCGACTTCATGGGCGCGGGAGGTCTTCTTGGTACAGACCCATGGAGTTAAAGGTGTACGCTCAACTCCTCGACTGGCGACGCCGCGGTGTTGCAGTTTCAGTCGGCCGGCTCCAAGAATGGTCACGCGAAGTGATGAAGGTGCTGTTCCCGAAAGTCAAGTGGAAAGGGAGTCAGCGGTGGTCGGAGCGGTTCCGCAAGCGGTGGAACCTCAGCGTGCGCATGAAAACTAAGGTGGCGCAGAAAACGTAGGAGCGTAAGTGCCTTGTTTCTCGCTTACCTCGAGCGAATTCGCATGGTTTAAGAGTTGTTGCCCCTAAGTTGAAGTTGAAGTTAAAGTTGAAGCCGTGGGTGTTTTTCAAGCGCAAGACACAGCCTAAGGGTGACTTCCCGAACGGTAAGCACATCTTCTTGTGCGTGTTTTGGACGTTCAACAAAAAAAAGGGACTAACCACCGCTTGCTTGTGTGCAGGTGTCGTGGTCGGCTGCCAAGCGAACGGGTGGATGGAGGCCACGGGCGTCATCCAGTGGCTCGATGAGGGCGTGGTGCCGTTCCTGAAACCGAAATTCGGCGAGCAGAGTCGGAGCGCCATGCTAGTACTCGACTCCTACCGTGGTCACCTTACCAAGGAAGTCAAGGCGAGATTCGCGGCGCTCAACATCGTGCCGGCGGTCATCCTGGCGGGATGCACGGCAGACGTGCAGCCGCTCGATGTGTCGGTGAACAAGAGCTTCAAAGCGAGTGTTCGCCAGCAGTACCAGTCCTGGTTTGAGGCGGACGGCATGAACATTCTGTCAAACATATATGATATAGCCTGTGTAGGCTGTAGTGGGGTAGACATTATGGGGTACAGTTTTTCTAGGTTTTCATACTTGTACCCATCTCCTTTCTAGTCCACACCATTCCTCGTACATCTTTCACATGGTATAGAGCGGGTTCCCTAGTGGGACCGTTTTTTTAGGGCCCACCACTTATTTTTTTTTTTCTGCCCTGCCCGAAGCGCGCTCCTTGCCCTGTCGCGCGCCTCACGCCTGCCTTACCTGCGCCCCGTGCGCCTACCCTGCCATCGCGGCCCTGACTAGAGCCGTCGCGGCCCTGCCGTCGCGGCCCCTGCCGTCCCCCCCCCCCCCCCCCCCCCCTGCCGTCGCGGCCCCTACCGTCGCGGCCCCTGCGGTCGCGGCCCCTGCCGTCGCGGCCCCTGCTGTCGCGGCCCTGGCAGACGCGGCCCATGCCGTCGCGGCCCCTGCTGTCGCGGCCCCTGCCGTCGCTCGTTCAGGGACCACTTCCTCTCCCTTTGCCCCACCACGCTCACCGTTGACCTCCTCGAGGATCGCCTCCTTGCAGCAGAGAAGAGTATAGTCGCTGTAGGAGCCTCTCGTGGTGACCCTCGTGCCCCTTTCTTTGAGGGGTGCTCCCCCGTCCCTCTTTTGCCCTCTGTTGCCTCTGCTGCTGCTGTCGACATCGTTGGCAACGAGTCGGTCGGAGCTGCATCTGCTCCTAGTGGGAGGCGCCGCAGCGGCAGGAGCAAGGGGGGCAAGGGTGCTGGAGGGGATGGCGGGGGCGGCGGTGGTGGCGGTGGAGGCGGTGGAGGGGGTGGGGGTGGAGGTGGGGGTGGTAGCAGGAGTGGGGGCTTCGGTAGCGGTGGTGGAGGTGGAGGCGGCGGAGGCAGCGGCAGTGGGGGTGGAGGTGGTGGCGGTGGCGGCGGAGGCGGTGGGGGTGGCGGCGGCGGTGGTGCTGGTCGGGGTGGAGCTGTGCAGGGGGGAGGCTTTGGCGGTGGCCGGCGCCAGCAGCAGCAGCGCCCTCGTGAGAGCCTGTCGCCCGAGCAGCTTCGTGAGTGGTACGCTGGGCGTGGGAGGTCTGGGGGTGCTGGTCCCTGCGCTTACGTTCTCCGCACCGGCGACCGCAGTGGAGAGACGTGCGGCGGCCCGCACGCCACGCTCCGCTGTTTCGGCCGCCTGACTGACGCCTGGCGTACACAGTTTCCTGACGCCACTGAGATCCCTCACTGGGGTGATCTGCTTAAGTCGGGGGTTGCTATCTTTGATCTTGATTATGATGCTATCCTTGCTGCTATGTATGCTGTGTCTATTAGTGCTGAGGGTGACTGTTGCCTGTGTGTTCTGCCCGACCTGGGCATTGAGGCTGCTGCTCTAGGTGCTAGTGAGTCTGCTGCTCTAGGTGCTGGTGAGGCTGCTCTCTCAGGTACCGCGTCGTCTCAGGTCTTGCACACTTTCACCCTTGACTCGGGTGCTTCCCGCTCCTTCTTTCGTGACTGCACCACACTCTCGCCGCTCAGTCGGCCGGTGGCAGTCTCTCTGGCTGACCCCTCTGGGGGTCCGGTCCTTGCACACTCCTCCACGGTTCTGCTGTGTCCGGCGGTCCCGTCTAGCTCTTTGTCTGGCCTCCACCTCCCCTCGTTCTCCACGAACTTGGTGAGTGGAGCTGAC